GAAAGTTGATGCTTCCTCAATACTTATTTCACTTTTTTGAAGATCATGCTCAAACATCACGTTGCCCTTTCCCATTCGAAACAGTGCCAGCTTTTTCAGCTTGGCAATAATGTCCGGATTTGATGCTTTGACCAGATTTTCGTGAATTTGGGTTAGATTCAAGGGATTGATTTCAAACCCATCTTCTGCTTTGAGATGATCCTTCAAAACATTTGCCATGATGGTGCAAATTGGAGGTATCTGACAAAGGAAGTCCAGACTCCTTGATATTTTCACATGGTCAATGGCTTTGTTGGCCAGATTCTCATTACCAATAACTGTCCTGAAATGCTGCTCCTTCTGTTCATCACTGAACCCTTGAACCTCGGTCTCCTTAAGCAAAAAGCAATCAGGGATTTGTGTTGCAGCTGCATATCGGGTCGTAATCCATATATGAGCACTGGGAAGTAAATTCCCCCTTATCAGATTGGTCACTAGGATATCCACTGTGGTCACCTCAGAAACATCACTCACGATTGGGCAGCTGAAATTTAGCGGCAGATGATACTCGTCCAGTCCATCCAGGACAAACCACACATTCTTTTCATTTAAGCTGGAAACATCGAGCTCCTTCAGTTCAGGGTAAAATGTTTGGAGAAGTTCAATTAGGCTCAGTTTGTGTTTGATCACATTTAACTCCCAGAATGTGAGAGGAAACAGGAGGTGAATGTCATTGTACCCTTTCCCCTCGGCCCACTCGAGGGCACAACTCTGCACTGTTGTGGTTTTTCCTACTCCACTCACTCCCAAAGTGATGACTGTTCTTTTGTTTCTTTCATGTTTGCAGTCACATGATAAGATGTCTGCGAGGGGGATGGTTTCAAAATAACACCAAGAATGAAGGTCCGAATTGTCAACACTTCTAAATTCATGCTGGTGCAAATTGTTAAATGGGTAGTCCTCCTTGATCTTCCGATAGCAAAGTCTTGAAGGAAGTAATGAGTTTTCCGAGTATGCTTCCTTCAGCTTCTGATATTTGTCCTTCAGTGTGGTTTTGAGACAGGTTTGGGGATCCATCACAGAGGCAGTGGTCTAGGCTCCTGCAGAGAAAGAGAAAGAGACAACTTTAACTCATGCCAGTTGATTTCAAATCAAACAGGATATATAAATACATGACAAGCACATTATATTGTGGTGACTTTTCTCTTCCTTGAATAAGCAACAAAAATGTACCTAAACTGTATTACATGTTGCCACATAATATCAACCTATAAACGTTGGCTCAGTTTCCACAACAAAGTTTCAATGTGTAAAACTCTTAAAGTGTGAACCTATGGTGACGTCACCCATTGCTTTGTGGAGTATTATTTTGAAGCCTCAAGTTTGGCATTATGGTCCTCACCATGTTGGTTTATTGGAGCCATAACCATATCTGGATGATAGGGTTGATCTACTGTCAATGAGCCAGACTTGCACACATCTTATCTTTAAATACCAATTACCGAATTCTCTGCTGCAAAACACCAAATCTCAAATTTAATTTTTATATAACTGAGCGCTTCTTTGGATTAATATCAAAATGTTGTGATGGGCTAAGTGTCTGTCTTACAGTGTAAATTGTGGTCCCTTTATATATAAAGCTAATAATAATAATAATAATAATAATAATAATTATATATGCTTATATAATGTTGTCCAACCCCCAGAAAACTCTCAGTTCCCGTCCCCGTTGTTTCTGACAGTACTAGTTACTATTTGAAAAATAAATAAATAGAATAAATAGTAAAAAATAAAATGTATTAATTATAAATTAATACAATGTCCTAATTAAAAGTAGGAATAACGTAATTGAAAGTCTGCGCCAGAGCAGTGGTTAAATATTGTAACTTAACGCTGTATTTAATGATGTAACGTTAGGCCTTCGTTAAACCCATTATGTGGTTATAACCCGAGTCACTGACATGAAACAGTTTGAGAACCGAAACTAACCGTTAGTTAGAAGTTACGTCTTTCTTGAGAACTATTGTAACTTGGCTTACAGCTGTCTGCTAACACAGTTTAGCTAGCTGTAACTGTTAAGTGTCAGTAATGCAGCTGCTGGCGGCGCCACGTTACATTTACCAAAGTATCGACCATATGTGTAACATACTTACCAAGAAAAACAAGTAGGCCTACATCACCATTCCAGTGCAGAGAGACCAGAGACGGTATATGGCTGTCATACAGAAGTGGGCGTGGTTTCATAAACAGAAAGACGCAGGCGGGACAGTGGCGACAGATGTCACTGAAAGATCCGTGCTTCAGCTGCTTTCACTTCACGGAAATATGGCCAAAATAAATAGAGACTGCCACCCGCGGAAGGGGGTTGAGCATGGCTGTAGCTAACCAGTCAGGGAGATGGGTGGGTGGGTCTCATCGTTCGTCTGTTTGTCCCGCCCCCTTCAGGTCAATGCCGACAGAGAGAAGCATAGACATAAATACATAGACGCCGCATCGACTGTGGAGCGGCGTGCCTACAGGGCGGCCATCTTGGAACAG